TGTACTCAACCAGCTTGAGGGCACCGAAGGAGATCGAATGGATGGCGCTAAGCCTCCAACCCCAGCAGGAGACGTCACCATGGCCGAGAATCCTACATCAACAAGGGATTCACCTGGTGCCACCGGGGAGCGGCTGTGGAGCAAGCCTGGTCAAGGGGGTGAGAAATGGCCATTCTCCACGGCTGGGCGTCAATAAAAGGGGACTGAGATGGACCGTTTTTAGTGGGCTGTTGAAGAGGGCGTTTGATCGTCTTCCCGATCATCGTGGATTCCTTCCCCATTACTTCCCCGGTTGATGCTCTTATGCCCATAGAGAAGTAGGCTATTACCAGCAGATGTTTAATTCTGTCAAGACGTCAGAGCTCTACTAGGTTCTATATGTATCTATATTGTCCCCAAATTAAGGCCTCCCCAGCAGAGATTTTGCCTTTGTTCTGCCTGATCAACCAGGCCTTGTCTGCCTCCAATCACTGTGTCTTGCATCATACATCATTGATATGTCGTCCATCAGTTACCTCAGACGCTCACCATCCATGGGAAGCGAGCCCGAGATGGAAAGCACGACCGATTTTTCGTCCACATCACAAAGCAGCGACAACCCGTCTGAAACCAGCAGCGACCGCGACTTTGTGGTGTCCGATACAGAGACATTGTCACGACGTTCATTCAGTGACTACTCAGCCGAGAACGGTATCAGCGACAATGCCGATGACATATCTATAGAAAGCGTAAACTCTGCTCTGTCCCCTATGATACACCCAAACCGCACCACGCTGACCGCGGCCAGCCTCATATCCACCGCGTAAGGCCGATCAAAGTCTTGGCGAAGAAATCGGCCAATCGGGACGGACGGGCCGCGACCGAATATCTGGTCCTATGGTGTTCCTGGGAGGACACGGACAGGATTGCCGGTCCTGAGCGAGGCGTGCTTGCGGTTCAATTCCGCGAGTAGATTTTTTGAATGCATAGTCTGCAGTATTGTTCTTTCCAATGCCCCCTTCACACCGTTCCTTGTGGACGAAACGACAACTAGATACACATCCAGCCTTCTCGACAAGGAAAAGAAATCAAAACCTGAAAACAGCGACAAATATCCGTAGTGTAGCCGGACTGCTCGATAGCTGTATCAGAAGCTGAGTAACGTCATAGCCGTCGCTTCTTGCGCTGCGGCGCCGGTTCCACAAAATGCACCCGCCGTTTGGTCATCTTCACGCAGTAGCAGGACCGCCGCGGCGGCCAGCGGTCATTCTGGTGGTCCGGTCGCCCAAACACGGCCTCCGCCTGTTGATCGTGCAGCAACTGTCGTATGGTCTTCGGAAAGCCGCCAATGGGACGCTGCTGGGCCGGGCTGGCGAGCGCAATCGTGATCTCTTCGTCCAGGCTTGTCACCGAAAGCGTCACCTGTTTGCGGTAATAGCCGCAGAGGAGACACCCATCGTCGTCATCCACTCGACCCAGTGAGTGACCCCGGCCACTGCAGAAGCGCGCTCCGGGAAATTCGACCAGCACCCGATCTGCAATCCGTCGGGACTGCGTCCGCGCACACAGAATCGAGCCGTGCAGGCGATACTGACCGTCAGCCCGCGATGGGGGAGCATCCAGCTCGAAGAAAAAGCACGTGGCCAGCACCGCTCGCACGAGCTCATCGGGTACGGTGAACGGAAGAGCCGCCAGCTCCTCCAGCTTGCCCACGTCATCCAGCCGCGGGAGATCCCCGTCTAGGGCATGGTCGAGGCGGATGGTGTTCGATCGCAGGGACGATGGGACGTGCACCCGCCCCTCCCGGTAAGCCTCCATGCCATCCA